GCCGTTTAATATTTTGAACCGTCTTCTTCTTTTTAATCTTTTTTTTTCTTTCTTTTTACTCGATTCTAGATGTGCAGTGACAATTTTATTTATTTTATCACTCAAGAATTGTCACACATCAAATCGACCAACCTACGTGGCTTGTTAAAGTATAAAATATTAGATGTCAGTAAATTGCTCTCTTAATTTTCAATATTTTATAGCTCAAGTAGTTAAGAGTAGTTATTTATGCACTCGAGATACTGTATTTGAATCTCCACTTATCTATTATCGCTTGAGCAAAAAACACAAAATGCACTAGTTAAACAATAAAGTAACCCCTAAAATACTTTGCTCACATTAACAACCAACTAAACTAATCTCTCTGACAGTTATAATCGCTCTGCCAAGGAAATACTTGAACTCGATATTATTGGGCCTTCAGAGCTTAGACGTATCCCCCAAGCAAATAAACGTGTAAATGGAATTTGGAACCTCAACTTGTGGGCAAGAAATTAACCTTTAATTCCTCAAAATTGACCTTAAAATTTTCCTTGGAGGCATCGCTCACTTTCTGTGTTGGTCTATTATTCTGCACAATCATTCAAGGCGCGGACCAATGAAAACTGCAATGAATCTTTGGCCTTTCTTTGTTGCGTGGGGATTTTTGGCCATGACCAGCTGTTTATGTATGTACTAGATGACATGAACAAGTTGTGGCCTCGACCCATCACCCATCTCCTCATTGTCATCCAAAATATATTAAATATATTTATGATGAATTTTACACACACATATATATATATATATATCGGTACGCATCCAATAAACAAATAATGTCCACTTACGTGGTGCACCATTTTGGTTGAAGAAGAAATGGGAATATTTCACTCTTTTTTTTTTTGTCTCAAGTTATCTTGTTTCTTGCTTGTAGACGTGAAGATTATTGGCGTTTTGTGACTTGTGAGATGTTCTTATAGTAATTGGTTTTGATTGAATATATATAATTTAGGGTTGTCTTTCCTAGATGTGATGTAGCAATTCAGAGAAACTAACCACCCAATTTGTCACCTTCGATTCGATTGATAAAAATATAAGATGAGATGAAGTAGCAAACCAAACTTTGTTGCTTTCCATACATGCCGTTCTTGACCAAAACAATATCAAATCAATAATTTTGTTTCTATGTCACATCTTTATCATCTCCAAAACTCATGCGTTTCTACTAACTCTGCACAAAAATTATATAAATTGGAGGTAACGTGCAACACTGCAACATGTATGGCATAGGAAAACCCAAAAAATTGAATTAAAAATGAATAAATATAGACAAAGATAAAGCTGATATTCTTTTCTGGCCTGGTCAAAGAGGAACTTGAATACTAATCTAATTTTGATTTTCAGAAAACACACAAGAAACAATAAGATGATTTTCTGAGCTCCCCCAGAAAAATTGAAAAGAAGAAATTGATGGGTTGACAGCATATGTATATATGCGTGTGTGTCCATATTGAAAAGACAAGTTAAGAGGACAAGCTCTAAGTTCATACCACATGGTATGCTTGTTGGATCTACTCTCTCTGTATTGTCAAGCAAGTATGAAAATGACACACACAAACAACAGCCCCATTCATTTCTTTTTTTATTATAGTTTTGTGAGAGTGGGCCTAAGAAAGCTGACCTAAATTGGAGGATCTTAGTATCTATCCACTCTCTCTCTCTTTCAATTTAGTCTTTGAATGTTTGATTAGGGATTGGTCCCCAGTAGTGTAAAAATGTAAAGAAATGGAAAGGTGTGTCATAAAGAAGGCAAGTCCACTTTGCAGATATATCCATATTCCATGCACATAGGTGGGGGTGGAATTTGATGGTGATGGAGTGGACAAAGCCTGGCATAAAATATGGATCTACATCAAAAGTTGTGGGCCAAGCAAGTCTGAATTTAAGGTGGGGCCCTGAGGGGACACAATCCAGCTACCAGCTATGCTCATCACCTTAAAATTTTGATGTTGTTGCCTCCCTTTGCTCTCTCTCAACACCACATTTTCCCTTTATAACATTGCACCCACTCATATGACAACATGAGAGAGAGAGAGAGAGTTTATGATAGTCTTCCAAATAGCTCATCCTTTAAGTGGGAATTTTGAGGAGTGCCATTGGTTTTGCTTTAGGAAGATGGATTTGGTAGGATATAAAGAGATGGTGGAGTAGAAGTAAAGGTAGGGCATAATATCTAGGGGTTGGATTATTAATTCCATGTTTGAATTGAATCAAAACCCAATAAAGCTGAAGTATCCAGGAAGGTAAAAACAACGTATGCATAAAGGGGGATCCTTTTGCTAGCCATTCTTTTTTCATTGAGTTAGAAAGATGCCCTTGGAAGCACATAATCTTATCCCACCGACAGAAATCGCATATGCTAAAGTCTACAAGGCCACAACCTCTCTTTCATCCCATGATCCCATTTATGCGTTTTCCAAGATTGCAACATCAAACCTAATTAGTGCAGCAGATCAATCATCTCACTTCCTTTTCCCTTTTCTTTTAAACCCTTAAACTTCAAATTCTTAATTGCCAAGACAAACCCAAAAGATGGCCAAATGAACTTTAATGGGTTCTTGAGTTGGAGAGAAAGGGAGAGGTATTGAATTCTTCAAGATATGGTCCAAAGTAGAGGGAATGGTGGGGTTTTCTTGTTTTCGCTTATATTGAAGGGGTTCGAGTTAGGAGTTGTGTTAAAGTTCAAATCTTGATGTAATTAAGTAAACTTTTTTATTTAATCAAATTGATAGGAACAGATACTTGTAAATTAGGGTTCAACCACCTACTACATTTGAAGTTGAATTTAAATCATCTTCTTAACGCTATGTGCAAACATATTAGGAATAATGGTGACAACATATGGGAACTTGTAAAAGATTGTCCATATGGGATGGCTATTTTTAAAAACACACACACACATATGTAGAGAGAGAGAGAGAGAGAGAAAAAAAACAAAAACAAAAAAACAAGAGGAAAATAGATGTACTACTCCATTCTAGATGAGCTTCCAACTTTTCCTCCCTTTGAAAGATTAAGTGTATCGTTGAAGAGAAGGGTGATGGCATGGAAAGTGACCTAAATCTAAGACTATGGCAGGATTAGCAATCTATATCACACATCAACAAGCTATGAATAAACTTATGAGCAAAAGAAACTAATAAAAATTGAGTGAGACTTTTGGCACAACTACCATGAGCATTTTAAAAAAATGGGGTTGAAAAGAGTAAATGTCGCCCATCAAACTTTACTGGTCATCCCAACATTGCATGTCGTAGCTATAAAGGAATCAAATGCTGGACCAGAGCATGGTCTCCAAGTCATGTTATTGAATCCAAAGCCAGGAATCTTAGTCAAGTCATACCAGAATCTTCCAAAAGTTAAAAGTAATTTAAATGCAAGACTTATATATACCTCTTGTTTTCTTGGCATGTGAACAAATTCATAGGTGGATGTGGTGCAATTTTCTAAATGGGATCTAACTTTTCATCAGACTGAGGCAGGTAGACCATACTATATAAATCATGATAATGAAGTCGGTCGAACCACATTTGGTCCAAAGTTCATTAAGGAAAAAAAGAAGCCATGGTCATGGATGGTGGTGAGGTTGTCTTATAGGAGATCTAATTGCTGTTGAAAATGACGTGTAACAACTATAGTAGAAGCCCCAAATAGAACAAGTCTTTAAGCCAAAATGGTACACATCATGCATAAAAGGAGAATACTTCCTTCCTTATTATGTAAGTAGGAGCTCCTACAATCCTACCAATAGTAGTGGGACATGTGCGGAGAAGTTTTTATTTTTGTGTTTTTGATGAATTATTTTTGTATATGTGTTAAACTGTGATCGCAAGAACGAAGAATATCTCTTTGCAGGGAAGAAGGCAAGCAGTATTCTAAATAAAATGAGAGAAGAAAAATGAAATTGGTGTGAACGGATAAAAAGTTGTAGTTTGGTTGGGTTGGCAACAAAGCTAGCCCAAAGCATATGGTCCCAAATTAATTTTTCATTGCACTTTAGTTAGCCCAAAGCCCAATCCACTCTTTTGATCAAGTTGTAGATCCAATTTTAGCTACCCTAAAGCAACTTCAACTTCAACTTCAAGTCTAGCCCAAGTCCAACCCAGCAACCTCATCTTCTAATTGTAGTTCCCTTTGCTTGGGCCAGAAGTAGTATCCTTGTGACTGGTTCAGAATTTTGCATTATTATGCTCCTTGTGAAAGTGCATGTTCCATGAATATATAGTTATATACTTTGTTGTTATGAATCTTTAAACTCCATTGGGAACAATCTCTTTTGCTAGAAATCTTGTCTCCATTGGCTATTATCACAGCAAATAAACCTGCTTGTCCATCTAACTTGTAATTCAATCTCTTGGGGAAGAAGAGGCATTGAAATTGTGAAAACTCCTAGAATCTAATAATAAATTGGACAGTTTCTCTTTGTACTACTCTCATATGGTTTTGGCATGGTTCATTATTGGACAACATTCCATGTTTCTTGTTTTTTTTTATTTATTTATTTTAATTTTTAAATTCGATAGAAGAAAATTAATTAGGAGAAGATTGCACTAAATAAATTTTACATATGTCTTGCGCAAACTACTCATGCTAATCATAAATATATTAATGTTCATGTGACCATATTTTAGTATCACATTATAATTTCTCCGTCATTTCTGATACCGCACACTACTCACGTTAATTATTAATACAATAATGTTCTTGTGACCGTATTTTAGTACTACATTATAATTGTATTTTAGTACTACATTATAATTTTTCCATCTTTTCCGATGCCATTGGATAGGAGGTTGAAAAAATCCATTTTCTCATAATTAATTCAAAATATCTAAGAGTAGCCAATAATAAAAGGGCCAAAGTTGTTGCACAGTTAGAGTTTCGAACCCTAAACCGTCTGCAAGCAGAAAACCCTCTCTTCTCCAATCCACCATCGCCACTACCACCAGTCAGTCACCATCATGTCCCAAAAATCAAAATCAAAACGAAAGACACCAAGGCAACAAGGACCCCCGACGACAAGCCCAAACCCAACCCCATCGGAGTTCTCATTCGCCATAGCCAGAATCGCAGCGTCTCAAATCAGTCAATCAGTCGGCTTCAAAGCCACGAAGCCTTCCGCTGTCGAAACCCTAGCCCACATCGCCATCAAGTACATCGAGGCCATAGCTTCCGCTTCAGCCTCCTACGCCGCCATGGCCAATCGCACCAACACGAACGTTTTCGACTTCACCAACGCCCTCCATGACTTGCAGTCGGTGCAAGGCTTCAAAGGCGCCTCCTTTCTCCACAAAAACGGCTTCTGCGTTTTGGGTTCGAGCGTTTTGACCGATCTCGCCAAATTCGTCAGCTGGAACGAGGAAACCCCATTCGCCAGGCCGATTCCGCGGGCCGAGAAATTGGATACAGAGAAACGGATTCCGTTTCCGGTGGAAACGGATTCCGGGAGGGATTTGCACGTGCCGAGATGGCTTCCAGCATTCCCGGATGTAAAGAAAACGGTCACGAAGAGGAGGAATGGTGAGGAGTTGTGGGAGAATATGGTGGCTGGGAATGGTGGTGGTGGTGTTATGAATGAAAGTGAAAGTGAAAGAGTAAGTGAGAGTGGGAATTGGAATGGGAATGGTGGGAATGAGAAAGGGTTTTGCTTGGAATTGGGGGAGGAGAAGAAGATGGGGAGAGTGAGGTTTAGGATTGGATTGGGGGTTGAGGAGGAGGAGAAAGGGGTGGCGGGTTTGGGTTTGAATTTGAGAAGTGGGGTTTGTAGAGGAGGGAAAAGAGTATGTTGGAATAATAACAGTAAAATTGGTTACAATTTTGATGATGATGATGATGATGATGATGATAAAAGATAGTTTCAATTTTGATATACTTTGTAATTGATACAAAAATATTGAATTGTTTTGGAAAATTTTCAGAGTTGTTGTGTTTACTATTTTTTCATGTATTTAATAACCAGACTTGGGTTCTTTTTGAAGGGCATCCCAGGATTCGAACTTCTGACCTTTATGAGATCACAAATGCACTGTTAACCATCGGAGCTAGTGTTTTTTGCTTCTTCCTTGAACTCAGATTTTACTGATTTAAACGTTTTGCATGGTGTAAATGTCGAGCGTCCATTGCGAATGTTGTATATTATCAATAATGTTTCAACAAGCATGGAAGTAGAATGGAATTCAGCTTTGCAATATAATTCAGAAACACATTACTATATGCCACAGGAACTTCGCAAAAAAGCACTTAATTCTTGAGCTACGCACTTCACGATGCAAGACAATAAGCTTTAAAGCAATAAGCAATTTGAATTTTTTTCTTAGCAAAGCATTCTTACGACTAGGTAGTAACATCATATAGGGAGTTCCATTCATTCACACAAAAAATACGTCTTTGCCTTTTGACACATATTTGTAAACAGACTTGCAACAGACACTTGATCTTTTTCTTATAATAATACTACATATAATTGCAAAAGTTTGGACTGGCAAGACCAAAAGCTTTTCTTGAAGCTCATTTTCCACAGTTGAAACCATGGCAAACGGAGAGGATTATGACAAGGATTAGTGCGATCAGGATTCCCAAAACAATCAGCTTCACCTTCATGTTCTGCAGCCACATCTTCCTCCGCATTTTCGTCCCAACATTTCTGAAGTCCTGTGCCTGTAAGCAGATCAAGTTTTCCCCCATAAGTAGGTTACATAGAATAACAATTCTTTCAAAGGAAATAAAATCTTGAAAAGATGAATCAATTTCGAACTGTGGAAACCATAGACTCAGAATTAGACTTCATGAACTGTGGAAAGCAATCATAAACTCTACAAATCCCTTTTATGAATCATTACATACTTGAGGCCATGCACAATACGGGGGAAAATAGATAATTTCAAAATTTTAAATTCACAGTATTAGTAACATGTGCTTACGAGAGAGAGAGAGAGAGAGAGAGAGAGAGAGAGAGAGAGAGAGAGAGGTGACCTGTTGATGAAGGTTCTCAGTCTTGTCAACCAGAAGCTCTATCTTTTCCCCTCTATCTAAAACCTGCATCAAAATGCAAGATGAGGACATATGAGTATTCAGAAGAAATAAAAAGGTATGAAAAAGGCATCTCGAGGAAACAAGGAGTCCATCTAATGACCTCTGTTCTATGTCTATATAAGAATGGATGTTTACACCCAACAAAAATAGTCATTGAACTTCATCCACGTAAAATATAACACATCAAGGCACACATTGCTTTAATCATATACCTCAAACATTGTGCTGATGAATATATTCTTCCACATCAAAAGCCCAAGTAAACTCATATAAAACAGGTTCTAAGAATAGTGGACTTCAATTTTGAAAATATATCGCAACTATCCAAAAAACAGAAGTCTCAGCAAATCTACCCTTCACAGTCAATTTGCTGGAATTACTTTTGAATTCTGTTTCTTCTCCAGAAACAGTAAACAAGGTCATGGTGGTTATTAGAATATGGTTTTTGTGGTTCGAGTATTTTAGTCCTTGCTGTTTTTAAGAATGAGTCTATTTTCACAAGATTGAAACAATCTGCATAAAGAACAAGATTGATCATAAAGACTAGCAAAATATTCTCCTGGTCAGGTCTGGTCTACAAGTGAGAAAAAAATGGTCAAGTTATTTTTCTTCATGGAGTCTTTTTTTTAAATTTATCTTCGACAGTTAATCATAACATTTTTCAAGGTTAGGATACTTTTCCTTCACCTGAACATTGGAAACAAGATGCACCTCTATCCTTAAGACTCATTCCAGATCCAGTTTCCTGAGTCCCAACTACCATTACTTGTGCCATAGTGCCCAATAATGTAGGTAACTGAGGTTCTAACAGACAAAAGCGTGCACATGCGCATTTATCGACATGCTTGTGTGAGCACATGTGCGTGCACCTAAATGTTCAACAATTTGATCAAGTCGGAGTGAAAAACCCTTATTCCATCTATAGATTCCCAAATCTGAGAAATAGCTGGCCAAAAAAGAGAAAATATAAAGAAATAAATAGGCGAATTAAGGTAAGTCAGTTGGATTCAATAATGTTGTATCCCATCCATGGAAAACAATCTAATAAAAAACAAGTATTCAATACCAATAAACCCATGCAGTGTACCTTTTCAATATTCTCCATCATAACACCTTTAACTTCTGAAACCTGGGCCTTCACCTTTGCAAGCTTGCTTATTTCTTCAGGATGATCAACACAGTACTGCATATGTTCCTTCAATTTTGACCTGCAAGTAATGGAAAACCAAATCAGCTATTTTAACCAGACAAAATTGAATTGGGATGTCTTTCACATGAACTGAATTAGGTATGATACCCAAATTCCTTGTTAAGGCTGTTGGCAGGGGCTGTAGCAGCCTTTCCACCACCATATTTTGAAACAAAATCATCTTTGATACGCTCCAGAAAAGCAATAGGTACTTGTCTTCCAGATGATTCATCTGCAACCACACAATACGCTGCGACAAGAAGAAACATCGGTCAGTAACCGATTGAATAAGATAATAGTAAATTATGAACTGATGCTAACAAGAATTTAAAAATACTCGGTTCTAAGAATTTATGAAGATAGCGCAAAGAAATGAAAGGAAGCCTATGCAACACAGCAGTAGTTCGAATGTTTTAAGAGTGTCACATTTTCTAGCAAATTCAACATCCAAAATGATTAGATATGTGAAAAACCAGGAAATCAAGGCATTGGAAATATGCTCAGTTCAACATTAAAAAAGAAATGAGATGCAATCTACTAATAACTACTCTAGAATGACACTTGATATTTGAATATAATTGAAAACCAATCACTCGGAAACAGCATTCACTCATGCATAGTTGCAAAGCAACAAAAAGATATCTTCTAATGTAAGAATAAGATCCAAGATCTAAAACCTCTAAAGCACAGAAATCGAAAACCAGCGCCATAACTCAAAATTCATAAAATGAGCCCAAACATCAGCATCAAGAACAGATCTACGAACAATTAAGTACATCAAACGAACCCTCAACTTCACTTCGGTTTGCGAGCACAACAAAGTAAAATGAACAAAGCAAATAATCAACACAACATAAAGTAGTTTCTCCGTCATTTTCCTGCGAGAGAATTTTCTCGGGAGGCAAAAATAAAGAACAAAGGGCATTACTGTAGCCATTGTCGACGAGGTAATTGAAGGTGTGGCCATCGCAGTTGTAAGTGAACTTGTTGTTGGTAGCGGGAAGCTTCTGGAGGCACTGAAACGCTATGGAGTTGAAATTGCCGCTGAATTCCGTGTACTCTGCCAGAATCACAGTGCCTCGTGCTACGAACGCGTAGATCAGCGCCTTCTGCCCCATTTGATTTGAGCCTTCCTCTGAGACCTTCTGCTTTGCTTAGCTTTTGGTTTCAGAGAGAGGAACAGAGGTTTTGTATTTTCCTTTTTTTTCTCCTTTTGATTTTGTTTTGGATTTTTGGGTTTTGTTTGTGTGAAGCGCTCTTTCTTTCTCTCTCTAATCTGTCAAGCGCCTTCTCCCACACTGGTTTTGTTTTGGCTCTTTTTGAGAGAGAGAGAGAGACAAAGAGAAAAGGGAAAGTTAGGGGGTTTAATGAGGTTTAAAAAGTAGAAAGAGAAGTATGGAAGAAGAAATGTGAGGTTTGAATCTAATTAAGGATTTTAAACTAGAGAGAGAGGGATTTTGGGGAAAGATTTTTGTGAGGTCGGACTCATCTGTGATTCATAAGCTCTACTTTATTTGTTTTTCTTTCTTAAATATGCTAATTATCATATGAAAAATTAAATTCCATCATATGAGTAAATTTCTACCGTCCATCAGTTTGTTTTTATCATGAATGCATGGTTGTTGATTAGGTAAAGTTCTATAAGAATGTGCAATTGTAATTCACAACATGACATTGTGAACATATCACATGTTCAATAACACAATCATCTATTTTTGCAGATGTGAGTTTGACCCAGCCCGACTCTTGTATTTAAGTTCAAATTTCCCTCCTTGAATTAGATTAATTTTGCAACATGAATTTCCTCCTTTATGAATATAGATACATAGGTAAACTCGTATTTAAATATGCAATTTCAATTTTCAATATAGTAACGTAATGTGTAAATATTTGACAAATCGCAATGGATCATGTATCTTATAACTTTGGGTTCAGATTTTGCATGTAATCAGCCACCAATTAGAGAAGCAACATATGAGATGATACCCAAATCTCGTGGAACAGAAAAAATAAATAAATAAGAAAATAGCAAAATTTTAAGGATAAAGTCATATGTTTCCAACGCGTGGCATAGTTTAGGTGCTCTTGTAAAAACTGTCTTCCTACTTGCGTTGTATGGAATAACAATATTTTACTTTTTTTTTAAATATAAAAAGAAACGTAAAAATAAATAATAAAAAGAGATAAAGCATCAAATTGCCATACCCGCAACGTCACCAACCACTCACGGTCTCATACCCACACAAGAAAGAAAAGAAGAAAATATAAATAGAATAAAGAGTTTCATTTTCTTCTATCATTTTCTCAAAACTGAAATAAATAAAAAAGGATTCTTCGAGTGATATTTTTTTTGTTTGAGGATCTTTCGTATTGAAAGGGGCGACAACATATTGAGCTCACATACTACACAATGATAGGACTCGAACCAAAGACCTTTTCTAGAGAAGCATTTGATCCAAACCACTACATTAATAAGCCATTTGCCGCAAATAAGTGACTTAAAGCAAAAAACTAGCCAAATTATATATTTTTTTTGGGCCATTGCATCCTTTATCTTTTTTTTTTGGGTAAAGAGGAGGGCTAAAGCCCAGCACAAAACTAATCAACAACAAATCTGGGTGTACACACCCGACATAAGTCATTAAACATTGATTTTCTCACAGCAGCAGGGGGGAGTCCCAAACTCGGTTGGGTTTGCTCCTCAGTTCGTGGAGCAGCAATTGCAACACCTAGTGGCCAGTGACAGACTCAGTTTCGCAAGTGGGGATTAGTCGAGATGAATGCAAGCAGACCCAAACACCTCATGGTACTTACCCCCCAAAAAAAAAGAAGACAGATTTCATCCCTTGCTTTTGTACTGGGCGCTGACAAAATATTTCATATAAGAACCTTGCTCCAAGCAGCTGAGGAAAAAACAAAAACCTTCCTGCTTTGCTTGAAAATACCATAACTTCAATAGTGTAGAGGCTTGGCTGACAAGATTTAAAGTTAGTACAAACCCAGCCAACATGCATTAAATTAGACATTCCCTGACGACGTATTTTCTATTTAGTATGGTACATTTCAGAAATATATTAAGCATGTGCAGTGCAGGGCAAGATGAAAAATTAAATAAATCATCCATGTGGTCTCCGACACTATTATAAACAGGTGCAATAAGCTGCAAAACATCAGAATAATTTGAATATCAGGACAGCCAAAATCCATTTTCCAAAATGTGCTCAAACACAACTAACAGATGCTTGCGTGTTTCATGCGGGAGGCGTATTGCCAATCGTCACAGCTTGCTTAGTTTTTAAAGGTGGCAGTTTAGGTAGCGCCCATGCCGGTGAACTGTCAAGCCATAGTCCTTCACCAGTTTCTTTGTGTTTAAAGTCTGGAGCTTTTTTGTTCCGCTGTGAGAATTAAAAGAGTAGCAAGGCAACAAATTAATTATAGAAGGGGAGGGGGGAAGGAAGGTAGCATAAAAGACAGATCAAATTCAACAGATTACCTTGTCCAATCTATTATCCCACCATTTATTCGGGTTTTCCACCAAGTCCTTCCAGGACTCATCACCTGAATTGAGGGGGATTAATAAAGCAGATATCAGATTGAATAGGTTATGAAAAATCCACAACCCTTCACTGCCTTAAACAGTGGCATAAAATGATAGCAGAGTACAAGTTGGACAGGATAGTGCAGCGTAGTTTATGACAAACTTGTGCAGGCTCACCTTTACTCTCCTTTGCTTGTTTTGACTTCTGAATTTGAACATCAAACTTCATGCCTTCAAGTTCTGACAAAACCGGCTGTGGTGCCTTGTTAAGCCAGAGTGCATGACTACCATCCTTGCTCTTGAAATCAGGGTAGTTTTGGTTTACCTGTAAAGGAAACAATTATGTCAAAGCTTTTACCAGCAAAATCAGCCTGATAACAAACGCATTTGAATGAATCATCACCAATCCATTGAGCTTGGGGTTGCGGTAATCCCGCCACTGTTTTGGATTATCAAGAAGGTCTCTCCAAAGACCTAACGTAGAATCCCCATCTTTCTTCAAGCTAGCTGAAAAACAAGTCATTCCTTCTTTCTCATCAGTAACAAGATTAAAATTAATAAAAACACTCTAAACATATAATTAATCAAGTAAACCAAGCATTATAAAATGACATAGTGTCAAGCACATAGTGTCAAGCGATTACTTTCACAACTATCTGATATAGATTTCTGATCAAATGTCGTGGAATCTAACTTATTTCGGATCCATTCAGGAGTTGAGTCATCAATCCGAAGTACTTCGCCATTATTCTTCCGTTCAAATGCTGCAGCCTTCAGATTATCCTGCGCACAAATTATAATGAGTTATACTTAATTGTTTAACATATCAAAGGATCAACATCCCCATTTATATAAAACACAAATGGTACTAAAGAAAAAAAATCAAATGAAATAACCCATATAAAAATTGCTACCTCTTTCAACCTGATGTCCCACCACTCATGAGGATTGGCAAGGAGATCTTTCCATGTGAGGAGATTTTTCCATGATTTCTCCATGTCCTCCTTTACACCTGCTGCTACTATAAAAGTATGTATGAAAATTGTTAGAGGTTGTTAAATGGTGACTAGGGTATCATTTTTAGTTTGACTTCAATGACTGTTAAGTCCACTGTATTATTGACGCTGAACAAAAAACATACTTTTCCACATAGTAAAGAAGTCATAGCATCTTAAATTATAAATTCAAAATAACTGGAAGAGAGATATTCTTGTAGGAATTCAAAATGCGCAATTGATTAGCATGTTGAAGAAATCTTAAATAGGAAACAAAGGAACCAAGCTTGTGACAGTCAAGAGACTCAAAAAGGTGACGATAACCTAAAAAACTTAATAAACTCGATCTCATAAATTTATCAATAACACATTTGGTGGTGCTATTGCTTTCCGTGTTCACAAGAATTCAGTGGACATCCAATTTCGCACCAACCTAGAATGTTTCACTATATTGAAAGCTATTCTCGAACTTACTATTCTGATCCCAAGTGAAAATGAGCTAAACCAAGTTTTTGAGGAAGTTCAGTTAGGGTCAGATTGAAAATTACACAACCAAATACGCTGGTTGGATTTCAGTTTCTGTATTTTAGTACCCACCGATCCAAGCGAAGCTGAATGTCTAATGTAAACAGTTTATGAAAATCTAGAACAACAGTTTACTATGATAAAACATAAAACTACACAAATTACACAGCTCTCCATACTAACTCCTAATTACCACCAAACCTTGTAGCACAATGGTATTTCTCCATCATTCTTATAATTGAGAATTCTTGATAGCATCTTCTAATGAAGTAGATAGCACCTCCAATGGTGAGGAGGGATTTAGGTGTGAACATTAGACTTTTTAACGAAGAAAAGAAAAAAAAGGTTCTAATTTGGAAGTAGAAAGAGTAAAATGAGGAAGGCATAAGAAAAATGCATATGACCACATCCACAAACAAAATACAAAGTTGCAAACAGGCCAGCATAAAAGGAACAGGTATAAACTCTTTCAACAGATATAAACCATATATTTCAAATCAAAGTAATCACTAATTGAATGTCGTAAATCACAAATGCATGCTACATCTGAAATATAAATATAGAAAGCCAACGGAAGTATGGACTAATGAAATCAAATTCATGCACTCTAGTGGCAATGTTTTCAGCATGTCAAATCCCCCAGGTTCCAATATTACGTAGAACAGGTAGCAATTGATCCTTGAGTGCATGATGACCATCCAAGTACTATAAGGTGACAAAACAGGCTGAGAATCACTTAAAAAGAATTTACCTGTGTGATCAATGGACTTTTCTTCTTGTTTGTCATCTTTAGAGCTTTTAGTCGTTTGAGAAGATTCTTCGACAAAGTAAAGAGTATGCACCATAACCTAATGTTAGATACATGTAAGTACAAACCAATAAAAAGAAACGACTGGGAAAGAGAGAAAATACTGAGCAAAATTTTTCTACCTGCCACATTTGCTAAAACAAAGTATGAAATCACAGTAATATTGGCTTCTAACCATGTGACATAAGCTTCAGAATTACAAGCAGCAAGACCGAAACTACGAAAACTGCATAATTAAAATAAACTCAACCATACTAATAAATTGCTCAATGCAAGTTTGAATTAAGGCAGCATTGGCTTCTTTCGATACAGCGATGCACACAGAGTCACCATTATAAAAGACATCCAGTTAATTACATCAGGAAACAAAGTGATAGCACAGATGTCAATCCAAACTCAACACTTATATTATCTAAGTGAAATTACGTGTACCCACATTTCTAGCAACCACAGAAACTGGAAATTCAGCTTAAAGGGTCCACTAGATGTTACCTGGAGAGGGGTCTGGCCCTTACTAGCATTTAGATGATGCAAATCCGATCTCAAACTTCCGGCTACAAACACAAAGTCATTCTCTTTCAAATGCAAACTGGCAATATGAGCCAAGTCACCCTCAAATATTATGGGCATCCTGGAAATTACAAAACCCAACACAAAATCAAGAACTCCTACAAAATAACAACAAAAGAAACAAACCCAAGTAATTAAAATTGACAATACTTTAGAGAATGAGACGAAGATGAAGAAGAGGAGAGAATGGTGGCAGCCCAAACGTTCCCATCAGGGGTAGGTTGGGATTGAAGAGGGGTATGCACGTGACCAACGAGGCGCACTGAATTGGCAACCTTCGGCTGGAACGGGACTTCGACCGGCCTCGGCCAATCGACCTTTGGCGGTGGTTGTTGTGGTGGTTCGGAAGGAGGAGGTTTAGTGATGGTTTTAGTGTTTTGGGTTTTGGGTTTAGTTTTTCCAGTGGTGGTGGCGTAGTGAGATTGCAGAAGCTGTAGGGGACGCAAGAGAAGAAGGCGTTTTTTTGTGGTTATTGCTCTGCATATTGAATTCATGGCCAAAATCACCCAAAGGGTTTTTGGTCCTGCGCTTCTGGGGTTTTAGGAACGGAGACTGGAGAGGACCAAGGTAGCCGTATGCTTTTGTGATTGGTACTGTGCAAACACAGCATAGTTTAGGGGAACATCCGTAAATAGGACCCATATACCTAAGCCTATTGCCAAAGTATCACAACTTGGCACATACGGGTCCAGTTAGGCAAGAAATTGTGTCTGCCTATTACATTCAAATCCGATCTCCTTTCTGTATATCAAAATTTAAGATGAGGGATTCAAACTTGGGCCAACTGTCGTGATCAGCTAGTTTAATCCATTAATGTGTCACGACTTAAAATTCAAAGCAAAAGAATCGAAGCAGAGTATGGTTTTTGAAACAATCCAAGGAAATAATTGAAAATTTTAGGGCACATGATTGCAAAAGAATCCGTCATGTAGTACTAAACAAGTACATATTATTCATACAACAAACATATCATATATGTCTTCCTTCTGAGAGTTCCACATTATTCTCATTCATGTCACAGAGGAATTAATGAAACGATTGTACATTACAACATATGGATCAATTGGTCGAGCAAGGAAGGTCTGTCTGTCTGTGCATCAACCAGATCTTATTAACCTGAGTCGGGTTGCGTCCCGAATTATTACAACAGTTGAAAAAGGGTAGATAAAAAGTACTTTGTTATGGAACTCAAAAGAAGGTGCGTAGGAGAAAAATAGGTTCAGTCCTTCCTCATGATCCTACAGATATAATGAACTGCATCATCAGAAACAAAACATGTGTAAGTATATATAAAGAACAGATTGTCTCTAGAACACAAGCGCACACACACACACACACACAAACAAACAAACAAACAAAGAGAATTAATTGTTTGGTCTGTCTAACATATTACCTTCTGCATAATTTTGAGGTGTGGACATGATGGATGCAGCAACTTTCTACAGCGCTGCAGCCCCAATGTCCTTATCTAGCTTAGACTGCGGGGAACTCATAGCTGTCTGCAGATTGCTAATGTGATGAGGAGTAAGCTGAGTAGTCGATTGCAGGAAAACCCCCTTATGATCTGAATTTTAAAAAAAAAAATATTGAAAGGAAAGGTGAATTACCAAATCGACAGTTATCGTATGAAACATAAATTTGTTTGTGGGACAAAGGACGTACCGAAGCTGCTATTCCTGTTCATCATCCGTTTAGAGACATAGGACGTACTGAAGCTGATGTTTTCATGAAAAATAAGTAGAAAACCAGAGTTAGTTAGCAGTTTTCAATTAATGTAAAGGGGAATTGTGAAAGCAACAAGTTGTCTAACGAACTTAACTTTGATGTGCAAATGAAAGACTAACCTTGGATTGGGTTGGTGAGAAGTTATGATCTCCATCTTCAGTTCAGGAAAGCTCCAAATGGTTTGCTCCTGGTCAGGATTATTACCCTTCATTTTTCCCTCATATTCGGTCTTGTTGAGTTCAAGTGGATCAACCAACACCAACTCTTTGGGCTCATTTGCCTTATTGTGATTGTTCACTTGACGTCGCCTGATGGAGATCTTTTTGAGTTTTGGCAAGGATTGCAACATCTCAATCCTGAATAAGTAGACCAAATTTTCACAGTTTGAGATATGGATGACTTTTAGGTGATCAAGATGAGGTTGAAGCTGAAATGGAAGTAGGTCGCCACTGTCTCCTTTGGACTCTATCAAAGCCTTCATCTTCGGACACTTTTCAACTGAGATTTTTTCGATGTTTGGAAGGTTGTACAATGTGTCTCTCTTGAATAAATAGACCAAACTTTCACAACCAGAGATATTGATGACCTTCAGGCTATCTAGACTATAACTTGGCAGCCAATGTAGATCCAAATTTCTCATTACATGCAGCTCATAGGTCTCTCCTGGGAGTGTGACTGGTTGTCCTTTCACATGGGAGTCGCTTTTGATGAAAAGTATGTTGTTTTTGTGAATCTTTGTTTCATGAGTACAAGAAACATCACCTAAATAGACTTTCAATTTGTATAGATGATGAGTCTTGGAAACGACATAGCTGTTAAAGGCTTCCGCATCTGGGAACTTTGCCTGAAGAATAGCTAAGCGGCTAAGAAATCCCAGCTTCTCAATATTACTTGCTCCTTTCAACAAAGAACCTGCGACAGAGTCATCATTAGTTATCATCAACACTTCTTCTAGACTGACTAATGCATGCACAACTTCTGCTCGAAATTCTCCCACACAGGTACGAGACAGGTTTAGGCGAATAAGCTTCGTTAGTTTCTCCATTCCATCAGGCAATTTTGTTATAGGAGTATCAGAAAGGTCAAGAAGAAGAAGTTCCTCAGAGTTTTCCAAAGAGGGCAGGGCTTTCAAGTTGGGACAATTGCGCAGAAGAAGTGCCGTTAGTTTTTTCAAGTAAGAGGCTGACTGTGGAAGGGTAGAGATGTTGGTCTGAGAAAGGTCAAGAACTATGAGGTTAGGCATATTACAAAAGAAATTTTCGTGCAAATGAATGATGGGATTGTTCTGCAGAAGTAATGTGGACAGATTGGAAAAATTGGGCTGTTCCATAATCGCTCGAATCTTATTTGTCATCAATGAGGCTCTCTCTACTCCAGACAAGTACTTTTCCTGTTGCAAGTGCAACTGTGCGTGGGGAAGCTTCTCACCAGCTTTGATGAGAAACTGACCAGGGTTGGTAAGATGGACTGCCATTTTCCTAGCTAAGTTGCTCATCTTGATCATGCGGTGTTTGCCTTTAATAGCAGGAAGGCCTTGTTGATCTTGAGGACTGTCTACTTCTTCTACAAGGTGTGCTCTTACGAGTTCATAGAATATCTTTTTTGCTTGTCCCATATCTTCTATGAGTCCGCTTCTCTCATTGCCGTTGATCAAACCCTCCCAAAACCAATACTCGACTAATTCCTTTTTCTCGATCAGATGACCACTTGGGTATAATGCACAGTAGAGGAAACATTTCTTCGTTTCTTCCTTCAAGGCATTGTAGTTGTCTTTCAAAATGTTAAATGCTTTTTCATTCATGCCATCCAAGATATCTGGAGACTCTTTTAACATGTCAAATGTTGCATTCCATGCAAGAACGTGGTCGACATGAGAACCACCATTGTTCTTCAATTCTTTCAAGGTTTGTGCCAGCCAGATGATGGTAAAGGGCAAACATTCCCATTCATCTATCATTTTCTTTGCATTAGCTCGAGTATCTTCCCTTAATTTTGACAATTCAATGCCAGCTTCGATCTCAAACAACGTTTGCGCCTCTTCACTCGGCAGAGGCCGGATCTTAACATATGTACCAATTCTGATGTCGGGACACAAGGGAAGTGATCTCGACACGATTATGATCTTGCAGCCATTTTCCTTGGTTGGCACTGGAATCCCGATTAACTTGAGAGGGAAATCATTCTGCATATTATCTAAAATGATCAGAAACGTTAACTCATTCAGCTCATTTGCCAGTGTGTCTGCCCTACTCTCGCCAGCAGTTTTCAAGTCGATTTTTAATTGCTCTGCAATTTTGTTTTGCAAGTTATCAATGGATGATTCAGTTCCTTCGTGCTCTACAGTCACCCAAATGACTTTATCAAAGTGATCCTTCGGGCTGTTACCGGGAATTGGTAACGTGGACGGTGATGATGAGGCCATACTGCAAGCTCGGTAGTCCTTCAGTATGCTGTCGTTGACTGCAGATACAATTTCTGTCTTCCCCGAACCAGGCATTCCATGAACACGTATCGTCTGAAAATCATTCCCTGTTACATACCCCTTAATCTCTTCGATCTTATTTTCTGCCTCTCCCAAAAGCCTTGTTCTGCTGCTGCCTCTCAGCCGTCCCACCACAACCGATTGATCCACAAGGAGGAAATCTTTGCCCTCATTATGCACTGCATCCAACTGTCCAATGAAATCTTCAATTTCTTTCCCAGCATTGTACTGTGAAAAACACTTTGGTGCTTCGTAGAAATGATTAATGTCACTTATTTGCTCTCGAAAATGCAACGGATCAGCATCCTTCATCAGCTTCTCTGCCGTTTCCAGCCACTCGGAGTTTTTGAATGACTTGAGCACCACCTTGCCCTTGGACTCTCGTTTTACTTCATACAATCGTCGTCCTAGATCATTCCATTTACTCTCCAAAACCTCTAGTCTTTCTCTGCGTTTCTTGAAAAAATGGTAGCGCTTCGTCACGGTTTCACGGATACAGGGTGCAGTTATCAGATTTATAACTACGGTTACACAGCCACTGACGCTGGCAATAATTGCAACGGTTCCTGCAATATTCAAGCAAGATCCAAGATTACATAATTAAGTTGCAACAACTATGGGACAAATACAAGCCTAATAGAATACTTATACATTACAATATATAAACAGTAACCATATTTATGTAGCACATCTACCATGGAAAGTATATCTTAAAACAAAAAGGCTGAACTTTTTCATGCAAATGCAAGCATGAAATGTAGTGCTGATAAAGATAGTGAAAATATATATCATTCTGTCATGCTTCGATGTAAATGTAACGCTCATTATTTAGTGAAACCCGAAAACACCTGACTTGGGTAAACCACTTTACATTGTGTGTTCTTAGTTGTGTGACTTTGTGCTCTTTGAGAAATTATACAATAGTACAGTAATACCACGTGGCAATTGACATGTGGTATTATGTTCCCCTGAACTTGCAACACGTGGATGGTAATAAATTTCTCTGTGACGATGTTTGCCTTCTCCAAACCTACGTTTCTTTGTTATTCTTCCTAGAGACTGTCAAGTTTCAAGGTGACTACTAGAAAAAAAAAAATAAGAAGAAGAAGAAAATGCAAATTAAAAATATGTGTAAAGCTCCGATGCAAAACAATGGAGTTACGTGATGCAAGAAGCCAAGATTATTTCTTTTCGCGGTTGATTTATTTGAAGCAAACTCTCACTGAAAATTGCCAAAATTTATGTATTTTTTATATATATTCTTTCTCCAAGAGAAGGTGTTTTTCA